TATATATATGCTTTAACTGCACAGGTTTAGTTGGTAGTCTTGTCCTAGCCTCGTCACTACTTCATCGGGGTTAGGCTAGGCACTTACTAGCACATGGGGTCGGTTGTGCTGATACTACACTCTGCACTGTATGCAGATCCCGGAGCAGCAGCTTTCGGACCATAGTTTTGGGTGGGGCCTTCAGTCTAGTCGGAGATTTCAAGGTAGTCATGCAAGCGTCCGCAGGCCTTGACGTCTTCTCCTATCCCTTTTATCTGTTTCTTTTACATATTTCAGAGATAGTGTTGTAATAAATCTTTCAGATTTTTAATTGTAATATTCCTAAACAGTTTGTGGAATTGTGACACCAGTCTTGGGTAGTTTTTGTATGGATTGGTATTGGCATCTTTCTTAAATTATTATATTTCTGTCTTCCGCTTATTAGATTTCCGCTGCTTGTCAATTGTTGGTTATTAATTCTAAAAGGACTAAAATGGGAGAAAGGAAATAATTTGAATGGTTGGCTTGCCTAGCTTTCACCAGTAGGCGCCATCACGACTCTCGAAGGTGGCACGAAAATGGACACGAAAAAGGAGAAAAATGAAAGCGCAAAATAGCGAAGAGAAACAAAGTCACGGATCGCTTCGTGAAATGGTAGAATTTAAAAGCTAAATATGCGTTAAAGTACGCGCGTTGCGCGATGGCAGACATGGATTCCAACTTGCCCTAGCCGAAATGGGATTGGAAAACTCCGCCCTTTATCAACCCTAAGTGATAAAAATACATTAAAGAATGACTTTTGGAGGGTTACACAATATTTTGAGATGCAACAATACAAAAGGAACAAGACGGAGAATCCTCTACGATTTTTTTATCATCTTCTTCTTAATTTCATTATTGGTGATGAATTTTTACATTGTAATCTTGTTTAATAGTATGAGTAGCTAAACCCGTCATCTAAGGTTGATGGAACCAATTGTTGGATGAAGTCTTGATTACGTTTTGATATAATTGAGCCGTTTTTACTCTATAATTATTCAACTATGTGTTTTCTTGTGATTAATTGAAAGGGCCATTGATTAATCGTATCTAGTTATCTTGTGTTGCTTGAGAAAGAACACTTGATTAGATTGTTGTTGACCAATGCCACTTTCGGGTAAACTAAGAGATTAAATACTTGAATTTAAAAGCGGGATTAGAGATAATGAATCTTTGGTGTAATAATTATGAGTTGTTTAAATTGTCAACTAGAGTAGTTTGAGAGAATGCTTCTAGTAAATTATCGTAATTGATTGAGAGATAATTACGGTAACCAAGAACTCATCATCCTTACAGTGTATTAGGGTGAGATTATAGCTAATGTGTCAGGAATTAAGTCGACAAATGGGGAAATCAATAATGCTAGATCCTTTTACCATTGAATTCAACTTCATTCTTGCTTATTGATAGTTTTTATTGCCATTTTTCCTTATTTAAATAATTCCTACTCATGATCAATTAAAATCTTGCATCCAGAAATTGTCTGAGCTTATCATTAGCGGTACTAAAAGTTGTAGTAAATAGATTAGTTCCCTGTGGGATTCGACTCCGGACTTGAACCAGACTATATTTGCAGCGACCGCGTAGTCCTCTTTGCAAGGCGTAGTTGGGCGTGATCAAATTTTGTCGTTGTTGTCGGGGATCTAACGGTGTTATTTATTACAACTTAAAAGAATTGCTAGGATTTTTAGTTTAGAACAATTTTCTGTGAAATTTCCATTGAAATTCTCACGTTTGAACACTTTTGTGACTCAGGTGCATGCCTAGAAGCTCCTTGGGGACTGGTGAACTTTTTGAAGGACTCTCAGATCCCAAGAAAGCATTCAGGGCATTGAATCGGGCTAACAAGAAGGACAAATAGTTAAAATAAAAAGACCAAGTCGAAATTGAAATGGACGACGTGGACAACATCAGCGGAAACATTAGAAATGATCGTGTTGACCCAAAAAATAGAGTGGTAGCACCTCTTGTGTCGGAAGCTTCTCTTTATGATTGGGCACAACCAACTGCTGATAACATGGTCACTGCAATTGCAGTTCCTCAGATACAAGCGGAGGCATTTCAAATTACCAACAACATGTTGCACCTGTTTCAGAATAAGGTGTTGTTCTCCGGGTCGTACATCGAAGACCCACAAAAATATCTGAAGAACTTTCTATTTATTTGTGTCACTCAAAGACAGCCGAATGTGACTCCTGAAGCAATTAAACTATTATTGTTCCCATTCTCAGTGACTGGGGAGGCTCAAACATGGCTGAATTATCTCCTAATAAACTCCATTGCTACTTGGGAGGAACTAGTCATGCAGTTCTTAAACAAGTTCTATCCTCCCAACAAAACTGCGAGGCAAATTGATGAGATATTGCAGTTCAGGCAGAAACTGACTAAGACCTTACAAGAAACCTAGGAGAGGTTTAAGGGTATGCTAGTGAAGTATCCACACCATGGCATTCCAGATCAGATGTTGGGATAGAGATTCTATATGGGGTTGGTAGACAGTCTGAAGGCCAATGTAGATGCTTCAGCTGGGGGTGCATTCTTGAGCAAAACATTCATAGAGTGTAAGATTCTTCTTGACAAGATGGCTCAAAATTTAGGCTGGATGACGAGAGGTACGACACTCACACCAATAGTGCATTTTGTTGCTATTGACCTAAACAATTCAAATGCAGAAAACATAGCCACTCTTATGACCCAGATGAGCTTACTGACAACGAAAATTGATGAGATGGGTACGAAGTAGGTGCACATTGTTGATACGACAAATGGCGGCTTATGCACTCCCTGCATAAACCAGTCATATGTGTGCTCGTGGAGTGGAGAGAATGACAACCAAGGCTTCATAAAAGAAATGAATTATGTTAATAATTTCGGAGGTCAGAGGCAAGGTGGGCAGCAATGGGGATCTCAGAATCAGTAGTACAGACCAAACGAGCCACAACACAGCACTAATCCAGGGGGAGCACGACCACAAGGCCAAGTCGTGCCTTATCAAAGGCAGAGGGCTATAATCAATAGCACCAGCAACAATTGGCCTACCAACCGCATCATCAACAGCAGGACAGTAACATGATAGAAATTAGGGGCATGCTGCAACAACTCATTGGGACAAATGGAAAGATGCAAGAAAAGTTAGTTTCACATGATTCGGCTATCAAAGGCATTGAAACTCAATTGGGACAGCTATCTATGGCGTTGAACAAGCGCCCATAAGGAATATTGCCCACAGATACAAACATCAATCCAAAGGAGTAGAACCCAAATTAGCCAATGGCAGTGAGTCTCAGGAATGGAAGGGATTTAGACAGAGAGTAAGAAGTTGCTCAATCTAAAAGAGAGACAATGCCAACTACTCCAGTGACATTAGAGACCGACGAGTCAGCACAGCTCACAGAGGTTATAATTGAGTAGGCCCAGGTTGATAAGGGTAAGGAGAAGGAAAGTGAACAACTCTCAGAACCAGTGATAGAAAAAGCTTCTAGTAAAGAAAAGACACAAAGAAATGGGCAGAGGTTGACTCCTGCACCATTCCCTCAGAGGTTGGCAAAGCAAAAGAAAGATGATCAATACATGAAATTCATGGAAATGCTCAGGCAAATTAAATTGAATATTCCGTTGATGGATATTTTGAGGGAAATGACAGAATATGCAAAAATGATGAAGGACCTGATGTCTCGAAAATTTGACTTCCAGGACCTGTCTACTGTAGCTCTAACTCAGACCTATAATGCGGTAGTGACAAGACCTATTGCTCAAAAATTGTCTGATCCGGGTAGTTTCACTATCCCATACACCATTGGGAGTTATGCTTTTACTAAATCATTGTGTGACTTGGGAGCCAATATCAACTTAATGCCCTTGGCAATCTATACAAAACTGGGCATTGACAGAGTTAGACCAACCTCAATGTTACTTCAACAGGCTGATCTCACAGTCAAAAGACCGACTGGAATTTTGGATGATGTGCTTGTTCAAGTGGGGAACTTTGTATTCTCTGCAGACTTCGTTCTTCTTGACTGTCAAGTGGATGCAGAGATACCAATTATTCTAGGTATGCCATTTTTAGACATTAGGAGAGCATTGATTAATTGTGAGACAAAAGAGTTAAACATGAGGTTGAATAATGAAGAAATAATATTCAACGTTCAACAACTTATGAGGAGACCTAGAGAATTTGCAAATTGCTTGCTAGTGGAGGCCATGGATGTAATACTGCAAGAAGAGGATGAGACCCTTAACATCAGAGATCCGTTAGAAGCCTACTTGATGAATTTAGAAGAGATGGATGGTGAAGAGCTGGTAGAGTGGGTCATGACCCTCGAGGTGAAGGGTTCTGAAAAAGGGAACCACAGTTTGAGCCCCTACGCTTAGAAGAAATAGCAATACTACCTGTGAAACCATCGATAAAGGAGCCACCACAGTTGGACCTGAAACCGCTTCCAGCTCACCTAAGGTATGCTTTCATAGGGCCTAATTCTACTTTACCTATTATTATATTATTTGGTTTGCTAGCTGTTCAGGTAGAGCAACTCTTACAGGTGTTACAGGAATGTAACTGCTATTGGTTGGACCATGGCAGGCATAAAGGGTATCGGCCCAGCCTTTTGCATGCACAAGATTCTCTTAGAAGAAGGGCACAAACCTTCCAGAGAACATCAATAAAGGCTGAACCTGAATATGAAAGAGGTGGTGAAGAAGGAAGTGATCAAGTGGTTAAATGCCGGTATCATTTTCCCTATCTCTGACAGCAATTGGGTCAGCCCTATTTAGTGTGTGCTGAAGAAGGGAGGAATGAAGGTCGTACAAAATGAGAATAACGTCTCGACTCGACAGTCACGGGGTGGCGAATTTGCATGGATTATCGAAAATTGAACACAGCCACCCAGAAGGACCATTTTCCCTTGCCATTCATTGACCAAATGTTGGACAGGTTGGTTGGGCGATCTCACTTCTATTTCTTGGATGGATATTCGGGGTACAATCAAATCTCCATAGCCCCTGAAGATAGAGAGAAAATATCCTTTACTTGTTTATATGGCGTTTTTGCCTTTCGGAGAGTGCCTTTTAGCCTTTACAACGCACTGGATACATTCCAGAGGTGTATGTTAGCCATCTTCACTGATATGATTGAAGATATTATGGAGGTATTTAGGGATGATTTCTCCGTGGTGGGGGATTTATTCGAAGACTATCTTCACAATTTAAGAAGTGTGCTAAAAAGATGTGTGGAGACAAATTTAGTGTTGAACTAGGAAAAATGCCATTTTATGGTACAAGAAGTGATAGTGTTGGGGCATAGAGTGTCCAGTAAAGGAATTGAGGTCGACCATGCTAAGGTTGGCGTGATTGAGAAGTTTCCACCGCCCACTTCGGTCAAGGCGGTGAGAAGTTTCCTTGGGCACACTGGGTTTTACAAGTGATTCATAAAAGATTTCTCTAAGATTGCAAACCCTTTATGTAAACTCCTTGAAAAGGATCAGACTTTTGTGTTTTCTAATGACTGCCGCTTGGCAATTAAGGAGATGAATAAGAGACTGGTGACTGCACCCATCATTGTTGCACCCAACTGGGAGCATCCGTTCGAGTTCATGTGCGATGCAAGTAAATTTGCTACAGTACAAGTATTGGGGCAATGAAAGGACAAGTTGATGCACCCAATTTACTATGCAAGTAGAATGCTAAGTGGTGCACAACTCAATTACACCATGACGGAAAAGGAGATGTTGGCTGTAGTTTTTGCATTCGACAAATTCAGGTCGTACTTGATTGGTTCAAAAGTTATTGTTTATACTGACCATGCGGCAATTAGGTACTTGATAGCAAAGAAGGATTCAAAGTCACGCTTGATCCGCTGGGTTCCTTTGCTACAAGTTTTTGATCTGGAGATCCGTGACAGAAAAAGGACAGATAACCAAGTAGCAGACCACCTCTCAAGGTTGGAAGCAGCTGAAAAGAAGGTAGAAGTTGAAGATATAACCGAGACATTCCCAGATGAATAGTTAATAGCAGTGACATGGATGAGACGCCATGGTATGCTGATATTGATAATTATTTAGCAAGCGGTATTGTACCTTATGAACTCTCTTCAATTCAAAAGAAAAAGTTCTTTCGTGATTGTCGGTCTTATTATTGGGATGAACCTCTACTTTTTAAAATATGTGTAGATAACATGATCCGGAGGTGTATCCTCGAGAAAGATCAACATTTCATTTTGCAGGCTTGCCATGCTTGAACATATGGTGGACACTTTGGAAGAATTTAGATAGTGGCTAAGGTGTTGGAATCAGGTTTGTATTGGCCAAATTTGTTCAAGGATGCTTATGCTTGGGTGAAGAGTTGCGTTGAGTTCCAAAGGACAGGCAACATATCTCGACGTCACGAGATGCCGATGACTACTATTCAAGAGGTGGAGGTATTTGACATGTGGGAAATTGACTTTATGGGGCCATTTGTCAGCTCGCATGGTAAAAAATACATACTGGTAGCAGTTGACTATGTCTCCAAATGGGTTGAAGCTATGGCTCTCCCAACCAATGATGCAAAAGGGGTGACAGGCTTTCTAAAAAAAATATTTTCACACGTTCTGGCACCCCGAAAGTTATAATCAGTGATGGTGGAACCCATTTTTGCAATAGAGCATTCGCACGGCTGTTGGAAAAGTATGGAGTTTTCCATAAGGTGACCACACCTTATCACCCACAGTCGAGCAGGCAAGTTGAAGTGTCAAAACGGGAAATCAAAAGTTTCCTAACCAAGACAGTGAATGCGACAAGGACTGATTGGGCAAAGAAGTTGGATGATGCATTATGGGCGAACCGCATAACATTCAAAACTCCAATTGGTATGTCACCACACATGTTGGTGTTTGGAAAAGCATAACACCTTCCGATGGAGCTTGAGCATAAAGCCCTTTGGGCTCTGCGACAGTTGAATTTGGATATGGAGACCGCAGGCACCAGTAGAGTCACTAAGTACATGAACTCAAGGAATTCAGGTTCCATGCATTTGAGAATGCAAGATTGTACAAAGAAAGGATGAAAATGATGCATGATAAGCATACTCTAGATCGGAACTTCCAACCCGGAGATCTAGTGTTGGTATACAACTCGAGGCTAAGATTGTTTCCGGGTAAATTGAAGTCCAGATGGTCAGGACCCAGAGTGGTGCAAGTGTTCTCAAGTGGAGCTGTAGAAATTGAATCCGAAGATGGAACAAATAAGTTTAAGGTGAATGGGCAAAGGTAGAAACATTACCTTGGAATGGTCGAAGAGAAGGGGGATAAAGTTGTGATATCTTTGGAAGAGCCCCAATACGCGAGCGAAGAGAAATAATGAAAGCTTGCATCATGTCGTGATGTTAAATCAGGCGCTTCCTGGGAGGCAATCCATGTTTTTTTGTAATTCATCGTGTCGCGACGTTAAATCCAGCGCTTGTTGGGAGGCAACCCAATTTTTGTGTTTTTTTATTTTCGGTATTTGATTTTGAATTGTGAAAATATTGACTTGTTTATAGATGCTGCAGGAATGAGATTGTACAAATTGGAATGATTCGGGGCGAAGACATGATAAAAAAGGGCCAAAAGTGGCTAAATTGGAACAACTAAAAAAATGGCCAACACTAGGCTCGTCTAAATCCGCGTCTAGCGCGAAGGAAGATGCAGCCCGGGCCAGCCTGTCACGACCTGGACTTCCTACCCTAGGGAGTCGTGATGGAGTCTACTCGTGAAAGCTAGGCAAGCCGAGTGTTATTGATCTTATAACCATTTTTCCTTAACCTTTTTAACAATTTCAAATTAACATACTATCAACGGCAGAATATTAATAATAATAAAAGAAATGCGGAAGACAAAATCTGATAACTTAACCAAATACTAGTGTGAAAAATACAAAATACAACTATACCCAGATCTGGTGTCACAATATCACTGACCATCTACGAATACTACAAACAATGGTCTGGAAAGAAAGATACAAGTATGTCTCTTAAGTAAATGAAAATAGAATATAAAAGATAGAAGGGGATGCCAAGGCCTGCTGATGTCTGCATAACTACCCCGGATCTCCACTAGACAGAAGGCATCAACCTTGCTATGGTCCAAAAGTTTCGGTACCGAGATCTGCAAAAAGTGCAGAGTGTATTATCAGCACAACCGACCCCATGTGTTGGTAAATGTCGAGCCTAACCTCGGCGAAGTAGTGACGAGGCTAGGACAAGACTACCAAATAAACCTGTGTAGTTAAAGCATATGAGACAAGTAATAATAACAGTAACTAGCAGTTAAAGATGGGAAGGGGAACATGCTGCGGGGAATATCAAGTACCAATACAATCTCAGTACAAAAACATAAAGAACATCTTAAATTTCGCATCGGTAAGAATGAGGAAAATAGTAATGTATCAATGTCCCCTTTTATTCTTTATTGTTGCGGCACGCAACCCGACCCAAATCATATAACACAGTTGCGACGTGCAACCCGATCCAAATCATAGAATACTATTGCGGCGTGCAGCCCGATCCAAATCATATATCACTGTTGCGGCGTGCAACTCGACCCCTCATGTCCTCCCTTATTACTCCTTGTTGCGGTGTGCAACCCGATCCCATATAATATTATTGCAGTGTGCAATCCGATCCAAATATATAAATAAACACCAATCACAAAAGAATCCCGGCAAGGGAACAATAAGGAAACAACAATATTCTGGCAAGAGAATCAACAACAAGAATAAACACATCCCAGCAAGGGAACCAACAGTAAAAATTAAATACGTCCCGGCAAGGGAATCAGTTATAACAAAACTTGTACCAATAATTAACTTCACAAATGAAACTTCAACTGGAGTCAATGCTCAAAAATAAACAAATACCACGAAGATAATCATAGTTCTTGCCCAACACGGAGAATCAACAATTTAGGTATTTGTAGTACTTATTAAGAAACACAACGATTACAATTTAAGACTCATGGGCATGCTTGAAAACGACGTATAGATACTCGTCACCACACCTATACGGCATACACTACACTAGCACATAGCGAATAAAGCACAATACCTATTCCCTCAGGCTAAGGTTAGACCAAATACTTACCTCGAACTTCCACGGCCAAATCAAGCCCCAAACACTGCTTTTCCTTTAGAATTCGCCTCCAAGTTACTTGTATCTAGCCTAAATTAATTTAACAACATCAATAAATGCTAAAAAATTCATACCCAATACTTAATTATAGGTTTACTATCATTTCCCTCAAATAGTCAAAAATCGACCCTGGGCCCGCTTGGTCAAAACTCGAGGTTCGGACCAAAACCTGATCACCCATTCACCCACGAGCCCGAATATGCAATTAGTTTTGATATCCGACCCCAAAACGA